CAACCAAACCACCTTTCACAAACTCTAGGGCTCCAAAACCAAGAAAGATTAAGGTTTAAGTTAAAAAGAACTCTTAATATGGTTTAATCATGTACATTCAATCCCATTTTATGTGACGTTGTTACTAGTATTATTTAAAAACATCAAACAGTTTTTGTTTGATCACTATCATTTTCTCTAATTCTTTTAAATACTTTTAATTATTAACCCAGTTAACTTATACTTTTTCATTTAGTTTTTAAATATGTAATGAGGTACCTGAATAGATTTGTACTAACTTAATTAGTTATACTCTGGCCACATGAACAAAGTGATACTATGTAATAACTACAGCTCAAATAAATTTTAGTGCGTAAAAAATTGGTCAGTGTATTTAGGATGCGTAAAAGAGTACATTAATAATAACAACAAACCCAGTATAATCTCACAAGTGGGATCTGGGGACGCAGACTTTAAGGTAGAGAGATTGTTTCTGATAGAGCATAAAAAGAGTAACGGATACAAACTAAAAGGGGAAAGCTCAAATAGTTGTTAGTACTTGTTAACAAGTATATATGGCATGTCCCATGCATGGCAAACGCAGAAAAAGCCAAAATGAGGAGAGCTGTGTTACTGTTACATGTATTCTTTGGCTCGCTAATGACCTTACTCAAGTCTGTCCATCATTGGGACTTCTTATACAGATTAGGCAAGCTCTTCAGATATCACAGGTCTACTCATAGTTATATGTATATTTTTTTTGGACCAAAGCTAGTGTTCTGGAGTTCCAAAAAGCCAACATAAAGTTGCTAGATCGAGTACTGAGTCAAAATATCAAGCGTTAATTTACCTGCTGCCAAGTGGAGATTACATGGATCAAAAATCTTCTTAAGGAGCTGCATGTTGCATTTTCTAATGCCCCGAAATTGTGGAGTGATAATTTGTCAGCAACCTATTTCATAGGCAATCCAATGTTTTGTGCTCACAAAAAACATCGAGCTTAATTCACTTTTTCAGTGAAAAGGTTGCATCTAAGAACTCAGGGGGCTCTGTATATCGGTTCAAGGGATCAAATTGCTGATATCCTCACCAAAATCCTATCCATACCAAGTCTCCACACAACTGCAATTGAGGATAGATAACCAATAACCATGTAGTTCAAAATACAAATGGTGGTTTGTGATAACACATGAATTATCAAAACACAAATGACCCTATTTTCCGAAGTGCAGTTGACAAGAAGTTCATTTCACTAAACAAATCAGTAATTCAACTCCATTTAATTTCCTCCAGTAACAATAAAAATATCTATTATATCAAATCATTTATCATCAATTACTGCCTCAATACTATCAGTTAGATCAAATGTGAACTCATGTATAAAAAGTATGCCAAGTAGTAAAGGATGTACCAGTAAAACAAAGCTCAGATGATGAGAAATGGGACTAAATGAACAGCCAGGTTTGTATCAGATCTTCTGGATGGAATCTGCTCATATGAACTACTCCACTTCAGTAGAGATTTTTCTTTAGTGACTTTCTTTTTTTTCTTCTTGGTCTTGAGGTTTGGTCTTCCACTTTTCTTCTAGCATCCATTCAAAAATACTGCGCTGCTGCTCCACAGAAAGAGGCAGAGTGGAAGTAGTAGTCTTAGTTGGAGAATGCGTAGTTCAGTGGTAGTTTTCCTTTACTTTCTTAGCAGGCCCTGTAAAGAGGTAAGCTGCAGAAATAAATACATCTACCAATTTCTATTAAAACATCTGAAGAATGAAGGATTTAAGTGAAATGCTTCAAAATGCTAGCCAGAAATAAGAAAACAAATTCACCAACACCTTCCATGATGTACTCGATATGGAGTTTTTATTAAGTACATGGCTCTAGATTTTGACTCTGAAGTTACACTTGGGTGTGAAAAAATTAGCATTTGAAGCAAGTACTTCAAAAGATTGAGGCAGTCAAATTGTTATCCCCACACAATGATGGTGGTTAAGTATTGTACTGCATCATAGACTAAGATAAGGTCATATAAACAAGTGGATCTACATTCTACATGTATGTGCATAATGATGCATGGTTGTAGAACCAACAAGTACATCTGTCCTTTTATTCTCATGCAACTCTTTTACTAATAACTTGTGCCATTACCTCTCTTCCTCATGTATGCTCCCGTACACAGTCCTATGCAGGGCCTAATTAACAATAGGAGCAGAACTCAACCTCTATCTCTATAGCTATCAAATTCTGATCATTGAATCAAATAACCCAATGAAACACATGTTTATACAGAGATAAGAAAGAGAAACACAAAGAACTCGGGATGATACGTCTGGCAAATCACTGGTTAATTCCAACTCCAGATTAAAAATAAAACTTCAGCATAATAAGATAAAAATATATAACAGAAACACCACCTATTCTCTAAATTTGCAATATTCATCATGAAGAACTCATTCATATTCCACAATGACAAGCAGAAAGAGGAACTTCCGTTACAAGTGAGGCTTATATTTTCTAGACTAAATGACTGCTCAGAAGATGAAGTTCAACTTGAATCCCCTAAAAGCTTAACGGCCCAAATTCCTTCTGTAATCAAGAAAGAATCTGAACATAGTTATACTAGACATGCATGTTTCTGAATGGATAACGAGAAGCAACTACACCGTCCAAACTACTCTGTCTGAAGCTGTATTTACAAAAGAAGTATCATGAATCATCTGAAATCAACAAAACTTGGGCTTGTCAATTTTCAGTCCCATAAATCATAAAACATTGGTTCTCCATACAGCAGGAATATATCACACCACTCAACTATTACTATCTTTATTTATCCTCAAATACATGGTATGAACCATAAAACGCACCTTGGCAACAATATCCAGAACACCTATTCAAATTCTTTCATACTCATTCAAAAGAACAGATTGAGCAAGTACCATTGAACAGAGAGCATTAAAGCTCTTAGATAACGGTGCTAAACTTATGACTCCTACTAAACCCGAACAAGAGACAATGTCCCAAAAAATCAAAGTGACTGGCCAATTATTTATTGTGAACATCACGATCCATCCACATACAGCTTTTGCACAGTACATAACAGTGTCAGGTACAAAACATTCAGCACAGAAATCCAAGATATGGAACCTTAGTGTTGTCGAAAAGCAGTTCCAATATCCACAACAGACATGCAAGAACTTATTAATCAATAACACCATATGCAAATGCTTTTTATTTGAAGGATCATCCAAGCATTGGGGTTTGTGGACTTTAACGTTCAGATAAAAACATTTTGATAACTCATGAAATATTCAACACAAATGATCATCTAATGAACTACAGTGAGGAACAGTCATGGAACTCCATTAATTTCCTTCACCAGCAATAAGAATTTCTACTGTAACATATCATCTATTATCAAAACTGCCTACTCAAAAAGTAGTATCAATTAGATTGAAGGCAAACTGATCTAAAAAGAATGCCAAGTTGTAAATGATGGATCAGTAAAACTAAGTTCAGCCAAAGAAAATTTTGAATCAATTATCTATGTTACATCAGATCTTCGGAATGGAATCTGCTCGTATGAACTGTTTCAGTAAAGCTTTTTCTTCATTGATTCTCTTCTTTTCTTCTCGATTTTGAGGTTTGACCTTCCTCTTCTCTTCTAGCATCCATTCAAAAACACTGCGCTGCTGATCTACAGAAAGGGGCTCTGGTACCTTCACAGGTTCTGGAATAGGAGTAAAGATGGGTTCAAAATTTTGAGGAGCAGGCGGAGTGGGAGTAGTAGTCTCAGCTGGAATAACAGGTGGTGAAATGTTGGACTTTCTTTCCTTCTTAGCGGGCCTTGTAAAGAGGTAGGCTGCAAAGTACAAATATTTGTCAATCTCTCAAAAAGTCACAGAAACTGAGTCATTAGAACATGTAAAGAATGATGATGTGTAAAATGCTTTTCCCACAGTGAGAAAAAATTAGCATTTGAAGCAAGTATTACAAAGACTGAGTCAATCAAAATGCTTTTCCCGCATAAAAATAATAATTAAGCATTGTATCTACATCATTTACTAAGATAAGGTCATGTGCTACCTATGTGTTCAGCCACTTTTGATTATATTTCATGAACACATGGAATTTTAACATGAAAATTTGTGAAAATTTTGGGATTTTGAAGAAAGACCTAGAATTGGCATTTTTGTATTTTTATCACAAAGTTGGACATGAAATTGGGAATAAATTATGTATTTGAGTTCGTAAAGTTATGAGTAATGTTTATCTTCAAAAAAATTTGGAATCCAAGCACGTGGGCCCGAGGGTTGACTTTGTTGACTTTTCGAGCGGAGTAACGACCTCACTGCCTTCAGTGATTTCGCTTGCAGCTCCGCATCTGCGGAAAGGGACTCGCAGATGCGGTCTTCCTCTCAGCTGGCTCCCTCGCTTCTGCGACCAGCGGCTCGCTTATGCGAGACCGCTTCTGCGGTGAGTGCGTCGCACCTGCGTGCTCATCCCGCTTCTGCGATGGCTTTCTTCGCACTTGTGCCTCCGCAGGTGCGGTCCCTTCACCGCTTCTGCGATCACTGGGCAGCCTGTGTTGTGCCGCTTTTGCGGTCTATGGCTCGCTTCTGCGAGCTCGCACCTGCGGCTAGCCCTTCGCAGGTGCGATTACACCAGAAACCTGGTGCTTCAGCTGTCCTCCCAAGTCCAAATGAGTTCCGCGCCTCGTCCGAGGACTTCCTAAACTCATTTTTTCTAGAAATCATGTATGTGATGCATGTCAGATTGGTAAACAAACCAGAAACTTCTTCAAAAGCAAAGACATTGTGTCTACCACCAAGCCCTTACATTTGCTTCACATGAATTTATTTGGACCCACCAGAACTGCTAGCATTGGAGGATAACGATATGCTTTTGTTATTGTTGATGACTACTCACGTTTTTCATGGGTGATTTTCTTACCTCATAAAGATAAAGCTTTGAAATACTTTGAGATTTTCTGTTTAAGAGTTGAAAGAGAAAAAGGGTATCTCATTACAACCATCCAAAGTGATCATGGAGGAGAATTCGAAAGCAGAGCATTTGAAGATTTCAGCAATGATCAAGGATATACTCACAACTTTTCAGCTCCAAGATCACCTCAACAGAATGGAGTAGTTGAGCGAAAAAATCGAACTCCACTAGATATGGCCAGAACAATGATATTGGAACATTCCCTGCTAAATCATTTTTGGGCAGAAGCAGTAAGCACAGCCTGCCACATTCTCAACAGATGTCTTATAAGACCTATCTTGAAGAAAACTCCATATGAATTATGGAAAGGTAAACGGCCCAACATAGGCTATTTTCATCCATTTGGCAACAAGTGTTTTATCCACAATTACGGTAAGGACAATCTTGGAAAATTTGATCCAAGAAGTGATGAAGGTATTTTTCTGGGTTATTCCATAAACAGTAGATCTTTTAAAATTTATAATAAACGTACTTTATCTGTAGAAGAATCAGTACATGTCATATTTGATAAAAATAACACTACGGCCGAGAAAGGAATCATTGCAGGTGATGAAGACATCAACCAAGAAATATCACAGACAAGCAAATCACAAAAGTCGACTGGTAATACAGACGTTGTCACAGAGTTGACTAATGAACTTGTCAATAGTCAACCAGAATCACGGAAGGAGTCAACTACTCATACGATTGCAACACGTCCAAATGAGTGGAGTAGTGAACCGGAATATCCTCAGAAGTTTATCATAGGAGATCCAAGTGAAGGAATGAAAACCAGGGGAGCTCTCAAGAAAAAGGCAAACGTAGCACTCATCTCTCAGATTGAACCAAAGAAGGTTTGTAATCTCTCAAGACTCGCATCAATCAAGAGTCAAGAAGGCATCACGAAGTATATATACATCTGTTCCAGGCTTGAATCATACATACTTTGAACGAACCATTATCACTCCTTTTGTTCTACTCCAAACAAGCATTGTATTTCTTTTTAGATTTGTTGTGTAATTAGTGAGAGAAGAAAAAGAGATAAACACTGGTGAGGCATTGTATCAAGAAGGGAAAAGTGAAATAGAGACTAAGCTGTTGGTGTAAAGCTACATCAACTATCTTGTACTCGAGAAACTTCAATACTGAAAAAGATCACCCTTGCAACCCAAGGGGACTGGGCGTAGGATTCACATTGAATCCAAACCAGTATAAAAATCATGGTGTCTTTATTTTCTGCACTTTATTTCTGCATTATTATTATTCTGTTCTTATCTCTAGTCGACTAATTGGTAAACTAGTCAACTACTTATAGTACTGAAAATAGAAATTGACAATTCACCTCCCCCCC